GGTCGCTCCGACGTGATGTTAACTCGTAGTCGTTTGACGGGGGACGAAACGGCGCAGGTGCTGTTGTGAAGAGCTTCAGCGTAGTCGACGCTCCCCCTCCCCTCTGCCACCGGTGAAGGGATGCAATGCGAGAGGGCGTGGATGCTCTTCCTTGCAGAAACAGCTCCTGACAGCACATCATGGCGATTCTAGTTTGGAGACAAATCCCTTCCAGCGCTCTCATTGGGGACATTGTGAGTCAGGAATCCTTGTGGGTGATGTAAGGTCCTTCTGTCCATCTGGACGTCCGAACACCTCCTTCCTCCGTGAATGAAAAAAAAGATGCTTCTGAGAGGCTTTAGCAGGAGCAGCAAAGCAGCAGACTGATCAGGAGTCCTATCAGCGTGGGTCTGTATGACAGACCCTTGACTTCGAGTTCACTGAGTTCGTCCAGCTCTTATATACCTCCTCTACAGTGTGACTCTGCCATGAGGTTATCGGTGGGGTCCACATGCGGGCTAAGAAAGTATCTAACTTCTCAGGCACCTACTCCCACCGCAACCTACACTTCAAACATGCTTGTTATTCTCTGGTGGTGGATTGGTGTAATCTGTTTACTCTGGTCCGCAACCATGTTTCATATAGCCCATCTAAATTTCTTCGGCAAGCACCTCCCGCGCCCCCCCCCCACCCGCACCCCCGCCTCTCCCCCCCCCATGTATCCACCCTTGCTTTTATTTTCCTGTTTGGAAGTTCTAAACTAGAAGCTGACGATAATCATTCATCATCATACTGACAATTTTCGAGCATAAGATGTTCTAAGTTGAACCGGAGATGTTGTTCCTCGTGTCTGAAGCCTAGTCTGACGTAATGTCTCTGGTGGGACAACAACTCTGTTCTTTCATGAAATTTAGACACAAACACTCCTAAAAGCGTTTACCAGATGAAGAGCTTTTGTAGGACCGTTTTCGCACTTACAAAACCCATGGTCCCCTTCAAGTATGTCGGGTCAGCTCCTCCACTACATTCCTATCAATTATTCTCTTCTCACACCTGCCCCGCCCGGATGTTTCTCCGCTCTGGGCAAAACGGGAGGCGGACAGGTCCTCTCTCTCAACAGACAGGGCTGCCTCTACCACGGCATCATCCAGCACGAGATCAACCACGCTCTGGGCTTCCAGCACGAGCACATCAGGAGCGACCGCGACAACTACGTCAGGATCAACTGGGAGAACATTGACCCGCAGATGGCCTACAACTTCTACAAGCAGGCTACCAACAACCTCAACACTCCCTACGACTACTCCTCCATCATGCACTACGGGAAAACAGCCTTCTCCATCCAGCTCGGCAGGGACTCCATCACCCCCATCCCCAATGCCAACGTCCAGATCGGCCAGAGCCAGGGCATGTCCTACTGGGACATCATGAGGATCAACCTGCTCTACGGCTGCTGATGACAATACTACTGATGCTTGATTGAGAGTTCACTGTTAAGCAAACAAATACGCTTGAAGCACAATGCAACACATTAACACTTTGCTCCAGCTATCTGTAATTCATCAAAAGCTACTAAAAGTGAGGTGATCTATGATACGGATTTCAGCTTCTGTGACTGTATTCTTTGAAAACGTTCAGGCAACTGAATATCAGTCAGAAATGTAAAAACTGTTTGTATTAAAGTTAACACAAAATGAAACCATTAAAATAAAGTTGGTTAGCAGCAGTTTGGCAGTTAAACTTTGTGTTTTTCAGTGCAGTATGTTGAGTGAGATCATCCACTGGCCTTCATTTTCTTTGTTTCTCCCTGGTTTCTGTCAGCTTTCCTTCCTTCTTTCCTTTCCGTCCACACAGTACCTCTAATTTATTGTGCTCCTTCTTCACAAAGAAATAATTTCACTCCTGTCTATCTGCAGCTCTGTAATGTCCCTCTCAAGGCTTTTCCACAACCAAAAAGAACAAAGGTTTAAGAAATGTATAACTGCGTGTTTTTCTGCTCAAAAAATACACTGATGCTAACGTTAGCATGCCTGGCTAAGTAGTTACCTATTTTTACCTCCAAGTGAGGTAGCACATCATTAGCTACTTTATTATTTTGCAGGGTTAAAGGTTGGGTTAGAAAAAAGGCCCGTTCAGGACTGAGACATACATTGGAGCCGGTGTAACACTAGTCTTGGATGCTGCTTACCGCTTTATCCCAGTTTAAGGTAACGTTAGCAGATCAGTACTGCTCTGTATTGGGTTTGGGGAAGTTTAACTGAGATGACTTTGTGTAAATTATAAATTTGTCCTCATCCTCAAAGTTTATTCTCATGTAAAAGTGAAACCATGTTTTAAAATACTTACAATAAAGCATAAATCTGACCTCTGACTTATTCGGTAATGAAATGTATTACGTGTATCTAGACTAAGAGGGAAATAGTTTTAAACTACATTTTCCCTCATGCTTTACTATAATACTGGAGCTAGATAGTTACCCTCTAATATTAGAGCGACGGTGCTCTTTTATTTCCATGTATTCTAAATGTTTCATCAATTTATTAAGATAATGACCTTTTACCTAGGACCTCTAAGCTTTAGCCTCAGTCTTATTTACATAGTTACATAGTGCAGAGCTGGCATGATATCATGTATGTAGCCATCAAATGAAGGAATATTTTAGACGCAAATGCTGGTTTCTCATTTTCACAAGAGTCAATGAGAAACATTAAAAAGTCAGCTAGGGGTGGAGTTTCCAAACAACTCACAGAGTTAATGTTATTTAGCTAGCTAGCTACAGCTAAACAAAAGCTGCCAGTGAAAGTGGTCATTTACGTCATTCAAATCAAGTCGTCAACTGAGAATGAAAAGCTGCTTTTGTTTTCTTCTGCCTAAAATCTGAGATCCATTGTTTTAAAACTTACTGTAAGTTTTAAATGGTCAAATGAACCATTGCCATCATTGTAAACTGCATATGTGCAGTGCTAGACTGGATAGCTTTATGGGTATAGCAACAGTAACTAAGGGAGGTTGGGCTTAGTGAATGGTCAGTTGTTTTGGGGGGGTTTGTCTTTTGGGGTTTTTTGGTCCGTACCCTCTAGTACAGGGGTGCCCAAACTTTTTCTCTTGGAGGGCTACAACTGTGACTTAATGGTGGGCTATGGTGCCAAAAGCAAAGACCTGTTGTATTGTATTGTTAGGATGCAAACTGGTACTAGGATCCCATGTTCCCTTAATTGAGTGACTTCCTGCACAGTGTCCCTCTCCCACCGTGCTCAGATATTGAAAAATAATAATTAGGGATCGTACATACTTAAAACCATGTTGTAGTGCACAAAGGTCCTTAAACCTTCATCTGGTAAAAATGTTTTAGAGTGTTTTGTGTCTAAATTGTTTCATGAAACAACAGAGTTGTTTGTCCCACTCAGAGAATTAACGTCACATTTATGTTGCAGACACGATGCAACTATTGGCTTCAATAAATCTATCTCTGAAATTGTAGTTATGATATGAATTGATTTATCGTTCAGCTCTAGTTTATTCACTTTCCAAATCAGAAAATAAAAGCCAAAGTTGGTATCACATAGATACCAATAGATACCATGAACTCTTTTGCCTGAAGACAATTTAAGATGTCTATATAAACATGTCTGACCAAGTAAACTAACTGTTCATCCATCCAACCACCAGAGATAACAAACCATGTTGAAGTAGTAGGTTTGTCTGTGGAGTCCTGCCTGAAGAGGTTTATTTAGGCCTAGCAGTGTGGACCCCAACCCATAATCCTCATGCAGACACACCTGTAGAGGAGAGTATAAAGAGCCTGGACTGAACTCAGTGAGACATCAAACTTCAAGGAGTCTGTCCACAGCTACCAGACCCACCCTGAATATGACTCCCTCTGTCAGTCTGCTGCTGCTGCTCCTGCTCGGCCTCTCTCAGGCACATCCTCTCACGGAGGAAGGAAGTGTTCCGGAGGTCCAAATGGACGAAGACGACACTGTCGACATCACCACCAGGATTCTGACCTCCAACAATGCCACCAATGAGATGCTGCTGGAAGGAGACTTGTTGGCTCCCAGAACCAGAAACGCCATGATGTGCTTGTCCCAGAGCTGTTTCTGGAAGAAAGCATCCAACGGCCTGGTGATGATCCCCTTCACCGTGAGCAGTGAGTTCACCAGCTTGGAAAGGCAGGACTAACGCCATGAAGTCCTTTCCACAACACACCTGCGTCCCCGTTTTAGTCCCCGTCAAGAACCGAGTACGACTACATCAAGGCCGTTGAGAGCAGACAACCGGATGTTTTTCTCCGCTCTGGGCAAAAACGGGAGGCGGGACAGGTCCCTCTCTCTCAACAGACAGCTGCCTTCTACCACGGGCATCATCCAGCACGAGATCAACCACGCTCTTGGCTTCCAGCACCGAGCACATCAGGAGCGACCGCGACAACTACGTCAGGAATCAAACCTGGGAGAACATTGACCCGCCAGATGGCCTACAACTTTCTACAAGCAGGCTACCAAGCAACCTCAACAGCTCCTACGACTACATCCTCCATCATGCACTACGGGAAAACAGCCTTCCTCCATACAGCTCGGGAGGGACTCCATCACCCCCCATCCCCAAAATCGCCACAACGTCCAGTTATCCGGCCAGAGCCAGGGCATGTCCTAACTGGGACACATGCATGAGATCAACCTGCTCTACGTGCTGCTGATGACCCAATACTCAAGCTGATGGGCTTGATTGAGAGTTCACTGTTAAGGCAAACAAATACGCTTGAAGAAAGCAATGCAACACCATTAACACTTTTGCTCCCAGCTATCTGTAATTCATCAAAAAGGCTACTAAAAGTGAGGTGATCTATGATACGGATTTCAGCTTCTGTGAGCTGTATTCATTTGAAAAACGTTCAGGCCCAACTGAATATCAGTCCAGAAATGTAATAACTGTTTGTTCATTAAAGTTAAGCACAAAATGAAACCATGTAATAATATAAGTTGGTTAGGCCAGCGAGTTTGGGGCCGTTAAACTTTGTGTTTCAGTGCAGTATGTTGAGTGAGGATCATCCCACTGGCCGCTTCCATTTTCTTCCGTTTCTCCCTGGTTTCTGTCAGCTTTCCTTCCTTCTTTCCTTTCCGTCCACCACAGTACCTCTAATTTTATTGTGCTCCCTTCCTTCACAAAGAAATAATTTCCCTCCTGTCTTATCTGCAGGGGCTCTGTAATGTCCCTCTCAAGGCTTTTCACAAGCCAAAAAGAAGCAAAGGTTTAAGAAATGTCATAACTGCGTGTTTTCTGGCTCAAGAAAAATACACCTGATGCTAACGTTAGCATGCCCCTGGCTAGTAGTTACCCTATTTTATACCGGCTCCAAAGTGAGGTAGGCACATCATTAGGCTACTTTATTATTTTGGCAGGGTTAAAGGTTGGTTGAAAAAACGCGTTCAGGACTGAGACATAGCATTGGAGCCCGGTGTAAGCACTAGTTTGGTGCTGCTTAACCCCGCTTTATCTCCAGTTTAAGGTATACGTTAGCAGATCAGTACTGCGGCCTCTGTATTGGGTTGGGGAAGTTTAACTGAGATACTTTTGTGTAATTATAAATTTGTCCTCATCCCTCCAAAGTTATCCTCATGTAAGAAGTGGAAACCCATGTTTTAAAATACGTTAAAATAAAGCATAAATCTGACCGTTCTGAGCTTATTCGGTAATGAACTGTATTACGTTATCTAGAAACTAAGGAGGGAAATAGTTTTAAAGCTACATTTTCCCATCCCATGCCTTTACTATAATACTGGAGGGCTAGATTTTATTTCCCTCTAAATATTAGAGCGTACGGTCGGCTCTTTTATTTCCAGTATTCTAATTGTTTCATCAATTTATTAAAGATTTAATGACCTTTTACCTAGGACTCTAAGCTTTAGCCTCCAGTCTTTTTACATAAGTTATAGTTAGCAATTAGATGAGAGCTGGGCATGATATCATGTATGTACCCATCAAATGAAGGAATATTTAGACCGGCAAATGTGGTTTATCATTTTCGACCAAAGAGTTCAATGAAGAAACATTAAAAAGTCAGCTAGGGGTGGTTTCCAAACAACTACAGGTTAATGTTTTAGTAGCTAAGCTACAGCTAGAAACAGAAAGCCTGACCAGTGAAAGTGGGTCATTCTTACGTCCATATCAATATCAAGTCCGTCAACTGAGAAATGAAAAGCTGCTTTTGGATTTTCTATCTGCCCTAAAAATCTGAGATCATTGTTTTAAAAAACAAATTACTGGTAAGTTTTAAATGGTCAAATGAACCGATTGCCATCCCATTTGGTAGAAAGAAACTGGGGCATGAGTGTGCCCCAGCTGCTATGACATGGGATAAGCTTTATGGGTATAGGCAAGCAGTAACTAAAGGGGCAGGTTGGGCTTAGTGAATGGTCAGTTGTTTTGGGGGGGGGTTTGTCCCTTTTGGGGTTTT